AACGGGAAGCGCGAAGCTTGGGGCCAGCACGATGTTGCAAATTTGTTGCGTGTTGTGGGAGAGCTTTTCGAGAGGGCGTGCATGTTGTGGGCTGTTTGAGAGATGGTGTGTGTGCGTGGAGACGAGGGGGATGAATTATGGAGAGGAGGGGGATGAATCATGAGCGTGTGTGTGCCACTCAATCATCGTGGTAGGTATAGGTTTCCGACAGATAGAAAGGCTGCGACACGACGGAAGTCAAACACCTTTGTCCTTTCGAACATCTTGTGTTGCGTACACGTTGAAAGAGTCACCGCACGAAGAATGCCAGTTTCAGGCAGACTGTGGCTGTGAGAGAATACGGAGATGGTTGCGACAGAAAGGTTGCCGCACGATGGAACATGAACTTCGATTTTTTTTATTTTTTTTTGTGTTCACTTCAAATCAGCGCTCACAGTACTAGCGCCGTTTACTCCAACCCATGGTCACACAGAGGAGCCCCTCTCTACCCTCCCCTCCTACGGTACTTTGCCTTCGATTTTTAATGGGAGAAGAGTTCAGCACTCTCTTCCCTCTGTGTACACACGAACTAGCGCTATCCACTAGGCCAGGAGCGGAAGCGAGAGAAAAACTCACTTTGCAAGAAAAGCTCGCTTACGCCGGGATTCGAACCCCTGACCTGACCTCTAGAAGGTTTCGAGGATACCAACTAGACCACCGGGGCGACCGGCTGTATATCTTCTAAAGAAGAAGGAACACGGTAATTATCACATGAAGCACTTGTCATAATTCGAAAACAAATGTTACACTTTAGTTTCCTCGTCTACACCGCCAAGAGGAGAAGTCGATCGGACTTCTTGCGCGGGCCAGGACCTTGCACGGCCGAAATTAACACCTTGAATTGAGGGTGGGTCTAATGGTCTAACCTCCCCGGTTCGCTTCGAGCTGAGCACTCTAAATATCTAAATATCAATAATTCGAAGATTCAAACAAACAAAGTTTTGTACAGGTCTTTTTCACTATACACGTACGAATCGCTGGTGCCACGCTATTTGTTTCACACCAAACGAAAAAAGATACACTCACAGCAGTGTTACTAGAACCACTACGCACGTGAGGGCCAAAGCTTGTCAACTATCTTCCACGAATTGCTGATGCCACGCTATCTATAGTTCACTCCTCTCTGCTCCTCACCCTTCTGAGACAAGGTGGAACCACTCCCTGGCGACTCCTCCCGCGTCAACGCCGGGCTCCCCCAGAAACTCAAACCGGAACCTTTGCCGCATGGACTCCGATCTCACGCTCTCCATAGCCGCCATGCTGTCCTCCAACAAATTACTCCTCCGAATCTGCACATAAAAAAAAAAAAAAGACTTGAGCAGCAAATTAAAGAAACAAGACATACAACCTTCATGTTCTTACGTGACAAAAAAAAGTTTCTTTGCAGTTGATACAATTGTATAAGAACAAGACACTCGCTATGTGCTGTGCACGCGGTTGGGCTTTAACCAAGTAGCTCGCCCACACACGCACTTAGGCACCTTGAGGTGCTGATGCTGTTGGGCCGTAACAAACTAGCCGCCCCCCCACAAACACACCTTTAGAAGCATCTTGTATTTTCGACCGCACTGAGACTTTGGTCGGTCGGTTAGCACGATCGATGCAAATAAAAAGAAACACACAGACACACATACACACCTTGAGGTGCTGATGCTCGACGTCCCACGGGACTCTGAGGAGGTCGCACTGCTTGTTGAACCAGTCCACCTTTTCCTTGAAGGGGAGCTGGCTCGCCCGGCTCAAGTGCTGGAACGTCAGGTTCGCCTCCGGTACGCTCGCATCCAACGTCGCTTCTTCTGCTCGCACCTACCCACGCAAATCAACGTCGGTCCGTTTCGCGGACGGTATGTATCGGCGGGGGATCGGTTTGGATTCTTGAGCATGGCAAAGGGTTGGTCCTGGGGGGGGGGGGGGGGTGGATTGGGCGCGGGGGGGGGGGGGGGGGG